CACGTACCCATTCAAAGAACGCATAAATCTAATCAAATATATTATTTAGTCTTCGACGAGGGAAGGTTGGAAATCAGTTATACTTTAAAACCTTTAAGAGTAAAAATTTTTGTGGATACATTGAAATATTAGCCGTTTTGAGTGGAAAGCAATTACAAGGTTACTTTGTCTTTTTTAAATAAGTCCAGTACCCAACTTGCTAACAACTTTTTTTTATAGAATTAGTCTTGCAAAAACGTTAATAATTTATTTTTTAGTTTTTCACTATGTTATTCCCGCGTATTGGTAAACGACAATTTTCTATTACTAGATCATTGATTTTATTTATTATATCCCCAATGGGATATATTTTCGCGCACTGTTAAACAGCAATTTCCATTAGATCATTGATTTTATTCATCATATCCTCAGTGGTTTCTTCATTAGAACATCTTAGCTATTTATTATCTTTTGTGCTTATAACACTATTGAGAAATTTGGTAAACCATCTTTAAATCATTTCATATATTGAGTAAACTTTTGAATCTGTCAAGGTTTCAACGACCATGGCACCACCGTAACAAACAACAACGTTGGCAGCTTGGAGATCACATGAAAAATCACCATTGTCAATAGGTGCTACTATGGATTCAATAGGCAATTGGAATGGAGATCTCGCTTAACAGATGAAATTGGCTCTTTGTAAGTCGCTTATCATACCTGTACTTCTCCATCATGGAAAAGTATTGACGTTATCACAGAATGATGTAGCAGTACTGATCCTTTACGAGTTGGCAACGATTATTGTATCTGAATGAACCATGAGCTGTGCGAACTTCATTGCGGATATTGAAATAATTCAGGGAATTTCGCTAGTTTGGTCATGTCGTAAGAATCGATGAAGATGCTTCAGTAAAAAAGATGTTGTAGTCATAGCACCTACGCCTAGAGGTAGAACTTTTCTCAGGTAGAGTGATCAAGTTGAGAAACACTAATAGCACTTGATGTACGAGACTCAAGACGGTGCCAACATATCAAAGGTGTTTGGAAATTGCAAATTTTAAATATTGTTTGTCAAAATTTCTTTTATATTGCAGAAACGTGTGCTTTGCTCAATCAAATAGCACAACGGGCAATAATTAAACTAAATATTGTTGTATTTTAAATAAAAAATTATTAAAAATTTTTATAAAATTCTTTTACTGCATTACCGACATAGCAAATAGCTCACGTATAATTCCTGCAATAACAGAAATAAGATATTATTTGAATTGCAAGTATAATGCTGTACATAATATAAGACTATACCTTTAATGCAAAATCACTTTGTATATGTTAAAATTATTCACCATATGAACATTTATCACAAAATATAATTAATTCAATCGCATTTGCATATTTCTCATTTAATCCAAATTTGATTTACAAGTGAGATACAATTCTGCAATAACTATGAGAATTTCCTACTGTAAGAATTGCACAAGTTCTGCTGGTACTGGAAGTGAGTTGTTGTAATTTTGTAAATAAATCAAAATACAATTTCTCAGAAAATGTATGATTTTGCATCAAAATCTTGTACTTCATCTTGTTAAAGGTATACATAGGCCTGAGCCTATAAGCTCAGAAACGGACTTGTGAATACGTATACGTTTACATATGTACATGACTTTACGGTGAGATAGCGTCTATCCTGTGCAATTATTTTGGTAACAAAATTCAGCTGAAGTATGTTTAAGTGTTTGTGATGTTAAGTAACAAACTTACATTGCTGCAAATATATTATTTGCAATATTTAATAAGAAATAATAAATACAAAAAATAAAAAAAAATTATTATGTGAGTAGCTATAAATTATTTTATATATGCAACATAAGGGACTTGAGTCTGTTCAGCTCACTTACTACGGCGACAAATTACGATTGCATTAATTCAATGGAAGTAATTTATCTGAGATTCTTTTAATCAATTTCAATAAAATGTGAATGAAATATATATATATATATGCATTGAATATATTTATTTTGTATGTATTTATATGTATATTTAGTTTATTTCTTTATTTCTTCAAAATAGTCCATAAAAAAAGGACAACATTTTTGTTATAGACAATTTGAAGTAGTTTTGAAACTTCCATTGAAATAAAATTGTAGCTATTACCAACAAACAATAAGGACTCTTTGAGTTTCTTCGCTCACATCAACATTGTAAAGAAAGAAATAACTATGTTCCGAAAACTACAGACAATCCCATAAATCCTTATACAATTTCTCTAAGGATTTCTTTATATCGCAAAGATTGCTTTCGCAATGAAAGCAAAGAGATTTTCTTGTCATTTCAGAAGTAGCCATTTTCCACATGAATGAAAAACAAAAAAAACTTTTATTTCAGGATATTAAAAAGGACAACGCACATGCAAGACATAAAGACAATTTAATGAAAATCGTAAAAAATGAAATTAAGCAAAGGCCACTTTTGTTGACCAATAAACAAAAAAGGTGGAGACAAGGAGTTTTCTGTATCTTTGGATGAGATGATTTTAAGAAAATATTTTGGGGCGACTAGCATGAAAATTGGGGAGGTTACTTTACTTTATCCTTCAATTTAACATGTTTTTCGAAATAAAAATGTTTCAAATAGAATTTAACTCTTGTATATTTGTTTTAATACTACATAACATAGTATTCCTTACGCAAAATTTTATAATAACTGAGATTTTAAAATCACTAAATATATAGAAATTATTTTAAATATATTTAAAAATCTTGTTATATAGATGGGTGGGTATTTGAGTATCTAAATTATGTTCCTTATAGTAGTGCTATCCATTTTGTGATTCGGAAAGTAAAAGTAAGTAAAATATAAATGTGATTTGATTTCATACCTTCAAAATTTTGAGAATTGTTCTCTTAACCATGATCCCTTGCGTAACTTAACAAGTGGTAATAGATTGTATAACCTTAGTGTCCAATTCATTTGTCGCAAAGCCAAAGTAGAACGTGTTAAGTAGCTTGTTGACTCGTTCTGTCAAAAATTCATATCTTTCACATCCATATCTTCAATTTAAGTGGATAATCAAAATTGATAGTTTGTGTTACATCAGTGTCTATTTTAAAAGTAACGGATCTATCAGACATCCACACTAATTGCCATATCAAATAGTTACATTTGACTAAGATTAAGAATATAATCCTAAAATTGATACTCCGACTGAATGTTAGGTTTTTATTTTATGAGTTACTGTTCTATTGTCAAATTTTAGTAAGGATAATTACTTTGCGTCATGACTAGTGGGTAACTAAATGTGATGAAAGATGGGGTCTTAAAATGTATGTTCAAACTATTCTTGTTTATGTTGGCTATACAATATTTAAATCGAAAGTTATTGTTTCAAGTTACAGTAGTGAGAAATAATGTGTTACCTCATATACTATATGCAAACAATCAAACAAACAAATACATGTCATCAAATAATATAACTTATCTCTTAAGAACTTACAACCGATTCATCTTTTACTGATATAGCTTACATTAACTGATTGGATTCAAAGTGCACATTTTATATACATACATGTAACTTCGGCGAAACTTCTTTACATTGTATATTATTATTATTAAGTAATAGGCTATTAAAGCACCTCGACCTAAAAGATCTATTGTGCGTCTAAAGGCCCAACTAAGATAATTTTATACTATTTATAAATCTTGTAATTGCTGTGGGCTTAATTTTATCTATTTGATTTGGGACTAAGATCCCGCTTCCAAAGAAATCGAGTCTACGTCTTGCTACCGCTGGGTAGTTGCATAGAATATGTTCTGATCTTTCCTTCTCCTCATGACAGAGTCAACAGTAGTCACTTTCTACCGCACCTATAATCGTCATGTGGTAATCAACTCTATAGTGTCCTGAAAAAAAGGTCAGTGTAGACTTTAATAATGCCAAGGATAGCATCAATTTTGATGTGATCAGAATCAAGAATCTTCTTGACTGCTGCATGCCTGTTTGGGCTCTCCAGTGTTCAAGTAGATGTTGTTTCTCTTATTTACATAATAAGCTTAATATTCACATAAACCGCATACGGCTCCGCGGACCGCATAAGGCCCGCGGTCTACAATTACGCAAATTTTCTTTTGGTATACTGGTAAAACTACATTATTTTATTTTTATGGTATACCAAATAAATTACTTTAAATTGATAAATTAATAAAACTAAATGTAATATTATACCCGTATTTTTTTTTGTCGAAAATAACTATGAACGTATATATTTGTTTCTACGGCTCCCAATCTACATATATAGTGATTTGTATTGGCCGAAGATCGCTTCTGGTTATGACAGCCCTGCTCTAGATATTTTGCCAGAGTAGCAAGATTACCCTGAAATGAATAGCTATTTTATATGATTTGAGAGATGAACTATGATTTGATTCGGTATGTATTTGTATTTATATAATATAAATGTCTGTTGGCACAATAGACCTGTTAGGTCGCAGTGTATTATCCTTTTTTCATAATAAAATGTATACTAACACGACTAACAAAATTTGACAGATCGAGAGTAAATCTAGATTGAATCTAGATTTATCAGTCAAAAATGCCATTATGATGTCAGTGGTAAAAAAGGTATAAAAACAAACCGAGTTCTCATTCATAAGTCAAGGCGATTATTGTTTTCATTTCATTGTCAAACTCTTAACTACTGCAGTTATCAAAGCAAAGTATGAATATTTATTTTAATAGAATTTAATTATAGATTATAAAATATTTTGTATCACATTTAATATTAAATAAATCGGTATTTAATGATCGCTCAATCACTAATCAATTGCATTAATTATTCTATATAGAACAAATATACTCGTATATTTCGCATTTAAATTAAGAAGAATTTAAATGATTCACGGAATGTTGATAAATACTTCAAGCGCTTTGTCCAGAATGCGCCGCAGTAATTGCAATTCTACTAATTTGAATTAATTCCATGTGCTCATAGCTTATCACATTACAATAAAATTAACATATATTACACTATAAAAATATAAAATTTATTTCACAATTTTACTTTAGCTATATACAAATATTTTGTGGAACTGAACTACACCTGCGAGTCTTCTTCGTTTAAACGTCTGGAACGTGCCTGAGTGTAAGTAATGCGACGCCACCGTTCCCTGCACGAGATGAAGCAGTCTTCTTCTTTTAGGATTAGATAGAATTGTGTTAACAGAATAAGAAACACAATTACCAAAATTATCATAGCCATAATATCACGTGTTGTCCAGTACGGATGAATACTTGTAACCTCATTTCCATCATGTGGACGACCAGCATGGCTCATTTTCGTTAGTTTATCCATGGATGAAGCGGAAGAAGAGAAGCGCGCTTGTGTGTTTGTATGTGCCGCATTGATGTGTAGACTTTTCGAATTATTTGATGATATTGTACGTAGTGGAAGATGTATGGAATGTTCTTGTAGAGAATTTATAACCTTACCTATATAATTGAATTCCCATTCATTATTAAATAAACCAATTTCTTTCACATTCTCATGATCTTTTACAAAAGTATCAAAATCGAACGTTTGCAGCTGATTCCCTTCAATATAAAATTTTTCCAAATTAACTAAAGGGTCAAGCACTAGAGAATCTAAGTTCTTAAGTGAGTTCATCGCTAAATCCAAGTATGTCAACTTTTGTAATAATAAAAAGTGAGCAGATTGCACCTCATGTAATGAGTTCCAAGCTAAATTTAAATGCAATAGATTTGGCATGGTCAAGTAAGGTATTGATATTGAAGATGTTAAAATGTTAATTAATTGATTTTTAGATATGTCCAACTTTTGTAAATTTGTCATGGCTTGGAAGTCATCGAGTGTCTCAAATAAATTGCCACGCAAATCCAATTCCAGCACTGAAGTCACGTCATCAATTTTGATTTTTTTCAAATTATTTCTATTGGCATTTATTTTCATGGCGCTGCCGCGTATATGCAAGCTCTTAAGACTGCAGTTTTGCGCTATCAACGTATCTACAGAGTTCAGTGCTATCTCTTCAATGTTTATATTACTTATGTCCAAGAGATGTAGATGCGTAAATTGTGCCACCAAATTCGTATCAAACTGAGTAATTTTGTTATTGTTCAGTAGCAAGGTTTGCAGCTTCACATTAGTTAGAAATGTTTTTGAATCAATTTCAGTGATTTCATTATAGCTCAAATCCAAATGTACCAGATTTTCTAATTCTACCAGTAGACCAAACTCTAGCGAAGCTATACTATTTTGCTGCAGATCCAAATATTGTAGCTCTTTTAAGCCCTTAAATGCATACCGGTGTATGAGATGAATTGCATTTTCCGCCAAGTATAATTCTTCAAGCGAATTGACGCCCATGAATACTTTTTCAGTCAATGACGATAAGCGATTGTTTTGTAGTACTAATCTTTTAAGTTTTGTCGCATTTTGAAAATCGAGCGCATTCAAATGATTAAGATTGCATTTATACATAATAAACTCACTTAAATTAGGTGTGTAATCAAACAGTTCACGTGGCAAACGCCCGATAACCGAATTACGCAGTACAAGCACCTTGAGGTCTGGTGCACTTGAGTTCACCACAGTGAGTGGATCATTGTATGAGACCGAGATTTGTTTAAAAGTACATGCGTCTTTATGAGCACAACTTGAGGTCAAGTTCAATTTTATTCCATGAGCACCACTGCTAGACCAAATCAGTGTTAGCAGTAGAAGACCCGGTATTTTTATCACTAATTGCAACATTTCGAATAGACTTTGTTACGGTTGCTTTTACTCGAACTGCTTTTTTGAAACTAAATTGTTTTATTTATACAATTAAGTTGTCTACTTAATGTGTTGATTATAAATATTTTTTTTCTTTGACATTTGTTTATATGCTAATCACAGACGTTTGAGCCGAGAGAACTGAACAGCTGAGCAGCTGCGGCTTTAGTGATAAGAAATTCTTTACGAGTAAAAGTAATTAAATCGGAATAACTCAAAGCAAAATTAAAACATTGATAATTGGAATAATTCGAAAATATGCACACTGCGTATTTAAAATATTAAACATGAGTAAGCTTTGATTAAATTAATTGAGAAATGGATGGGTGCTCATCCGATTGAGATGTTAGTAATGACACACTTAAGAGGAAAATTTATTGGGAGCGATTTTTCAACAGAAGCAAACCGATTCTACGTTTTTATTAAATACAATATATAAGAGCAAAGCAAAGTATAGCACTCAAATTTCGATTAAACTTAATTATTATTAACTATTTATTATTTTATTAGAAAGTATTTTTATTGTATTATTAGAAAGTACGAGTAAATCTTGTTTGCATCTGAATGTCTGCTGACAGAAGGTTTCAACAACAGTCGATTACATTATATAAAATATTCTTATAATGTTATAATGTAACTAATGCTAAACTATACAGTCTAATAGTGTTTAAAAACGGCTGCCCCATTGTTTTATGGGAATAATTTCTACCCCGTTTTAATCCAATTTATATTCACAGAAAAATGACTTTATAGCTTATACTCCTATATTTATTATTTATACTTTAACTAATATAACTTCACTCAATAGTTTATTGAATTTTTAATCTTCTCTTCGAATTAATTAATAAATCAAACATAAAAAAATGTATCTTTTCTTTACGGTCAACTAAGAAGAGAACAAAATGATTTTTAATCTGGTAACTCACATAAACTCAACCACATAAATATATTACGCGTCATGGTTGGAGAATCCCCATTGTCTCTGTTATTTATTGACTTTGAGAGAGCTTTTTCTTTGAACGAAATACGTCTGGAGATGTTTGTCAAATTGTGGAACTCAAGTATTATTAAAATTATTATAAATATATATGAATATAAAAATGCAGTTTTTATGATTTGGTTCAAAAACAAAAAAAGCGAGAATTGTGAAGTCAATCTAAAGGTTAGACAAGGTGGCGCACTATCGCCTCTGCTATTTATTACAGTGTTGGTCGGTGCACTAACAAAGTGAGCTTCTTCGAAAAAGTATGTGATTTTGATTACATTGACGACGAATGTACGCATTACAACGCATACTTTGCAAAGCCCCAGACACAAACTGGAAGTATTAATAATAAACGCGCATGAGATGGAACTGCAGTTAAGCTTTAAGAAGACTAAAATGTACCAGTGCGTGGCAGATATTAGACAAAATGTAGATGATATAGATAAATTTTGCTATCTTGAGAGTATTGTTACTTAGACTTAAAACTAAAAGCTTTTCACAACATTTAAATCAAATAATTGTATGGACAAATATTTGAATATTTAACCATAGCATTAAGCTATGGTAAGACAGAGGTCATATCGGAAAATACTTAGAACAATATAGCGATAATGGCGCTTGATTTGAACCCACGGGATTTTTATTTTCGAAGGAAAGGTCGCCTAACTACTAACTGAATTTGTTCAGTACATGTAGACTGTCTGAGTAGATTATAGTCGAAAACTAAACACTTGGTTTAAAATCATTATAATTAGAAAGAGGTTGTGACTACCATTCTGACTAAGTAGAAGCGATCTTTGAAATTTATTTTGTATGATTTTTAAATATGTCTATATATTGTAAAATGAAAAAAGTATCTGTTTAAATCTAGTTATATGCTTTTAATTTTGATATGTTGGTTAAGACTTATGACAACTGTCTCTATTTAATTTACTCAAGGTTAGTGCGAAGTAGTTTCATATGAGATGGTTTGGTTTTTTAAATGAGCTATTTAACTGGAAGTCTATATATATTCGCTTATGTGGTGTTACTATTCTAGCCGAAATTTTATCTATAATGTATTATTAACTTATAAATATTACGAGAAAGTGATAATATTCTTTACAACTATATATAAGAGATATAACTCTATGTATAACAAAAAATTATAAATGTAGTGAAAAATATATATAGAAAAATATTTAAGGAGGATTCAGTAATCTGGAAAGGAAAATTTTTATTAAGATTGTGACATGTAAAAATCCTCTCTTCAAAATTACAGCTGTTTGTATAAAATTGAAGGACGTCCTAAGTCACTATACAAAAACAAATTTGATTTAAAAGGGAGAAAAAGGAAAAACTAATTGGAATTTGTTAACACGATATATTGTACAATAGATTTGATATCTCTCATTTTGATATCTCTCATCAGCAGGGTAAATAGATTCACTAACATAATTTGTAATCACATTATTCAGATGTATCTTAACAGCCACAGCCGCGATAACTATCGATAATTGATGTTATTTCAATGTTAATGCGCTAATTGATAGATTGATAATTGTATCTTCTACTTTACATTTGTTTTATAATGGAAAGTCTTCAATGTGTTGTTAAGAACAAACGACGATGTCCATTTTGCTCATAACACAATGGAAACATAAAACAAACACAAAATTATGTACGCTTAACACCAGAACCCGTCGTTGACCTGTACAAGCCATGGTTCAGCTTTGAACAACACAACCAAAACAAACAAAAATAGATTTTACGAGTATTCTTTGTTTGCATCGAGTCAGTCAGAAGTTCGAAAGCTCTAGAGCGGCTTCGCACAATCCAATAGAGTTGCATATGTGCTTCGGTGGCTGCATTTTAATTTGTGCTCATATGGTGCAGTATGTTCACAGCCATCATAATTTTTAACATGAGTGCTGTTGCCACTGTGTTGACGCTGATGACGAGGCTTCAACTTACATGCTGAACGGTGAACGGTGAACGCTGAACGCTGATGACTGTGTCGATCCCGATCCCTATCCCGATGTTGATGTCGATGTCGATGTCGATGTCGATGCCGTTGTTAATGTTGATCGTTCGTTCTGTTGTGTTTTGTTGTGTTGCTGCTACAATGAACAAATGTGCGTTCTGCTCAGCGCTCTTATCAGTAACTGAGATGCAGATTAATCGCCACTGATAAGACAGAAGCGCAGTCGTGTATACATCGTGGAAAATGGGATGCGACAGTAATGATGACGATGGCTTTGACGTCTGTGCTGGCTGATCACGGTATTGAGTTGAATTTTTCAAAAAGTTTTGAGTGCGTACAAATTTTTTACTTTTGTTTTTTAAGAAAAAAAGATTTTATTCTTTTATTTTCATAAATGTGTTTATGCATATATATTTTTTTTTTTGTAATATTTTGCCTCTTGTTTTTCAAGGTGTGTGCTTGTTTGTATGTTGGTCGGGATATGCATCAATTGTGGCACCGTACTATGCTTATTGCCAAAAGTGCTTTAGATTAAGGGTTTATACGTTGAATTTTGTTGTTGTGCTTAAGTTATTTTAATAATTTTTATTTTTGATGTTCAGAAGCAGGGCGTCGTGTATTTCTATTGAACAGTGAAGTGCTATTTATTCTTTCTGCTATACATTGACCCCAACCGAAACTTTGCCGTTTGAACATCTGTCGATCTTTTGAGTGATAACTCTGAATAAGTTCCTCTTCTCCTTTGCACAATAATGCTTAGCACATAGAGAAATTGTCACGAGTTTTACATATTCGCAATTGTTTGGGTTGCTTAGAGTGCAATTGGTATTATCCTGTATTAATAATACACATTTGAAAACTCAATTAGCGAATACCTTAAATAAGCTTAGGTTAACAATTGACTGAGTTCATTTTGCATAATATCTACCAATGCATTTTAGCTGATTCCGCCTCTTCTGGCTTCGTTGCGGAGACCGAAAGGAGTTACAAGTGCAGGAAATGACTGCAGCTGTGTTTGTAAAGGAGCTTATGTGGCTTAAATACGACATTCCAAGGACATAATTTGTCGAAATAAGGGGTGTTAAGTAATGATATAGTAATGTAACTATTACCCGGTCATAATAAATGTTTAACTGATGTTATCAGTTATGAATTAAGGGATTGACAAAACCGATTATCTAACTAATTAATATTATTGTTATGCATAACTGATCTAGTACAAAATAACAATAAAGAAATGCCTATCATGATTGTAGGGAATTACTTAAGACCATCGGTGCGAAAATCTAAGACAACTTACTTATTAAAATAGGGAAACTATTATTCTGTGATTTGATTCTATCAATTATACATCCACATATAATTATTTCAAAATATTTTACAATACATTATAATCGAAATAGTTGAAGGGTTGCAAGAGAACAGTATAATATATATGTTACAATACAGCATCAACAAAATATTTTGAATCAAAGAGAGTTTACTATTAACAATGAAATCTTTGTTCGTGAGAATTTAAATAAAAGAAATATTTGTAGTCAAAAATTCAATACTGGGACCTGTGGTTTCTTTAAATGTAGTACTTTCTTGGAGCTATGCATTCATTAAATTTGAGATACATATCAAAACATCTATATTTAATATACAATACCTTTTACAAATAATTTAACAGCATATCTTGATATCTTTAACAATCTTATAACGGCAAGAAATCAGCACTGAATATGTTATATCTAGTTTTTTCTCTCAAAGTTTAGTTATTGCTTACATTTGTAATATTTCTAAAATAATAGGGACGTTTTTAAAATAAATTTCTCAAAAAATTATATGTACAAAATCTTATTGTATGGTACTTAAGTTATTCATTACATTAGTGAAATAACAATATCTATAAAAAACTATATAATAATTATAACTCTAGCCTACTTGGTAGGTGAAGTGAAAGAGAATAAGTCTTGTAAGTTAACTTGTTTCGTAATATTAGGGAGAGGTGCTGGTTGTTTATAACCAGTCAAACGTACTTATGAATGAAAGTATTGAGCTAATTTCTATACTAGAAATGTTGTGGAGTAAGACCAAAAAGTCTGTATGTGGTTAAGCTTGGAAAGTAACATAATGGTCCAATGTCCTTAACTTAGACGTCTGCGAAATCATTGGATTGTTGTAGAAAGTAATTGTAAATGAATTTTCACCTGTAGCT